CCGGGGCGGTGCGAGGGCGGTGCCTGCTCGCTCTAACCCCGTCACACGCCTGTCCCTAGGAATTGGTGTATCTACACCTATGGATCCCCGAAAGGCGGTGCTGGGTGGCTGTGCGTACACGCACCCAGCGGTAAATGGAGCAGGTTGACCTGGGTAAAGCTCCCTGGGCTGTGGGGCACGGCTCCCTCAGGCGGTGCCTGTCCTCACGGCGTCTCAAAAGCGTCTAAAGGGTTCCAAATAAACGCCTTAAAACGTGCGGGTTTTCCCCATCTTCGTGGGAAACCAATGTGTAAATCCAAATTTACATTATCCGACTAATATTTTGATGCGTATTTACAATTTTTCAGCCTCAGCTGGGCCAACTATATTGTAGTTAGGTGAATGTTTTTAATGGGAAATACGGAATTTGGTAACATTTGAGCCCGGTCTATGTGAGGGACTCAGCCTCACGGAGGCGCAAAGTTAAGAAGGAATTCCACAATTAGGCTCCCAAATTGTTTTTCTAATTATGATGGCAGATACATTGCAGATTTGGATCAAACACAGCAATCACAGTAACCTATGATCCATCCTGGTTATTTTTATGGTTGTACCAAAGGGAAAAAAGGGTAGTAAGACTAAAAGACCCTCAGACACATTTCTACAGAAGTGACTAAAACCCCCCTCCCCAACCTCTGATGTTATTTACACAGCCTGTTAAACCCTAGAGCTAACTTGATTTTGTCTTACAGCTAATCATCCACAGAATACAAAACTTTGAATTAATCGATAGTCACAACGATAAGGCATTATTTTATTTTAAAAATAAGTATGAATTACTATAATCCTATATATCATAGGGGTAATGACTAGGTGACTTGCAGTGTCAGCTGTTCTGTGAAGCTGAAGTAAGTAGCATTTTTTGATTACTTAATATTTGGAATGTGACCATCTGATTTTTCTTCTTGCACTAATTATTCTGAAGTGAGTTACCTGCTCCAATGCATTTACCAAATATTTCTTCTACTCTTTGAGTAGATTTCTTCCATAAATACCTATTTTAGAGAAATGTGGCAGGAAAGCAGAGTGATGTTGAAATTTATTTGAATGTGTATTTTTTGCACTAAAAACATGCCAGAACCAACGTTATGCAGAGCCAGATGCTAATTAATAGAGTTCCTAAGCCTTCTTTTCTGATTTATAAGCTGATTTTCCAGAAATAAAATACGTTTTAGATATTTTAGTTAATGCTGAAGCTCTTTGGATTGAAAAGACAGCCTGTTCCTGAGGTATTTGTTCACCAGTGGCTGTAGAAAACTAGATTTTCTCATGGACAGAAAATTAGTTTTAATGAAAGATTTTATAGGGTCAGACCTTAAGAATATTAAGCCAAAGTTAAGGAGGGAAAACAATTCTTGCTCACTGGTATAAACCTACTACACACATTTTAAGTAGTTTAAAATTTTATTACTATGCTATTGACTTTTATATTGTTTGAAGCAGGAAGACTTCTTTCTATATACACTCATAACAATAAGTCACTGTTGGCTAGGTAGCATCTCTTTAGTGTGTAAACTATTGCTCTAGTGAAAACAGCTGCTTTTTTTCACTTTATGAGTGCTTGGGGACATTTCAAGAAAAGAGGCTTGTTTTGTCCTGCTGTCTTTTGTTTTTATTTCATTGGATCTTATTACTGGGGAAATTGAATTTACTACTTTTAAAATTGGATTGTTAACAAAATCTTATTAAACAAAAAAACCTGATCTAACAAAAGTAAGATACAGCAAATTGAACTTTCACTTGTGATATGTATTATAGACAGTAAAAAAAAAAAAAACTCTGGAAACTTCATTATTATATGGAATTATAAACCTTTTTCAGGAATGAAAACTAAGCTTAACGAAAGTACTTTAGTAGCAGTATAAAAAAAAGACCTCTACCTACCTAACCACCTCTCTTTGCAAGCAAATTACCCTTTGTGCTTGAGGTGCATGTCCTTAAATAAATGATCCCCAATGAGGACCAGCTGGGTGTGGGCACACAGGTTGTGGGAATTGGGAGTGGGGCTGTGCCTGAGCCCCATCCCCAATGAGATACAGCTGTGAAAGGCAGGTGAGCAGTGTTGGAGGTGATGAGCCATGGAGTGCTGAGGGGTTACTGACCATTCAGCAAGGGAACAGAGGGCTCACAGGTGCAGTGCATCAGGGTATGAAAGGTTGGGCTGAAGAACAAGATGAGCAGATGCTTGCAGCCTTCTGAGGTGAGATGGTGTTGTTTTGTATGGGCTGGCCCTTGAAGGCTTCTGATATGGTAAGGTGTTACTGTGTATGGGTTGGAGCTTTCTGAAATTGTTTGATGATGCTGTGTGTGTTGTGGCTGTCTCAACTGCAACATATGCTGCAATAGAGAGCAGGCTATTTTAGTAGCAAAATATCTATACAGCTAATTTTTTGGATAAAAGCTCTGAGCTGTACGTAAGGCAGTGGCAGAATGCACCTGGGAGAGCTGTCTAGGGCTGTCACAACTTATTAATCTGTTTTAGGCCATGACACAATATGTACATCTTAAAAAAGGTAGTAGGCAGGTTTAATAAAGTGCTGGGCAGGCTGATTAAAAAAAGTGCTGAAAATAGGTTTAATGGTTATAAATTTTTTTTTAAATTAGTTTAATATTGTCCTAGTTCCAGAGGCTGCTGTATTAGCTGTGTATCTCAAAGTTGTTACTTTAAGGAGTTAGGATTTTCTATCCTGACAGAATATGTACATCTTGAAAAGGTAGTAAACAGGCCTAGTAAAGTGCTGGGCAGACAGGTTAAAAAAAATGCTGAAAATGGGTATTGTTTTTTAAAATTAGTTTAATTTTGTGCTAGTTCCAGAGGCTGCTGTATTAGCTGTTTATATCAAAGCTGTTACTTTAAGGAGTTAGGTTTTTCTATCCTGCTGGCAAGAAATGCTGAAGTAGGTCATATTAAGTGGATTTTGAGCAATGTTATGGGTACTTTTTTCAATCAAAATTACATGAAGTGTAACAAACCAGAGCTGTAATGATGGATGGTCCTTACTGGTTTATTTAATGTTTCACTGGAATGTGTTGTGTTTTTGCAGACCAGGAAATATTTTTTGTAGCTACTAAAACTGCAGTATTTTATGCTGGATAAAAGGATTAGTAACTTTTATTATTACTCTTTGTTTGTGCTTCATCAAATGATTGTGTTTGCCTTATTTATCTGATACACAGAATTGTGTTCTACTGAGTTAGATGGTCACCTAAATCTACAAAATTGTTCAGTTTTTGTTAGGTTCTGCACAGATGGCCATCTACCACCTCTTTAGTGCGTTTAGTAGATATATGAAAGTGTGGTTTAAAAAAGCGGATCAGAGAAACAGTCTAGTCTTGGCTTTGCTTCATAGAATTTCTCTTAGAAAACTTAAGAGAGGTAGTTGTAGGACAGAACTTTTGTTCTGTCTCCTGTCGGGTTAGTGGGAGATGAAAAGTGCCAGAAGAAGTTAGCAGTAAAAGTGCAGTTCTATGAAGTTAATTTTTTTAATGCTTAAATGCTCCCCAGTATTCTAAATCTAAAGCTGTCCATGCAAGCACAGTGCCATTATTGCCACCTTCTGGCAAGCACGGGGTGATTCCTATTCACAGTCACCAGCCAGGGTTCTGTTTGCAGGGAATTTGGACTCACCCTCTGGAGTTTGATATTTGCTCTGCTTACAGCTTTGCATTTTCCTAGTGGAGTCACCTTTCTGCCTTTGGCTTAGTGTTTTCCAACATGTCGAACGTGTTACTTTTCCCTGGAAGATGTGATTGATAAACCCTGAGTTGTTCAATGATGAATTTTGTTTGAATGATAAACAAACACCTCATAAACAAAGAGTTACTGGGCAAAGGCTGATTATTCCCCTGCTCCTTTCCCTTCCTGGTGAAGGCTGTTTTTAGGGATTATGCATCAGCATTATAGGTTTAAAATGCATGTCAGCAATTAATAGGACAAGAGAGGATTACACAAAAGGCTGTGGAGTAGCAAATGACCTTGCAGTGCTGAAATGTGAAGAATGAAAGTATCACTGATTTTTGGTATAAAATGTTTGCTAGGAAAAATTGCTGTCTTTAAGACTTTAAATAGAGTTGCAGCTAGAGAGATTAATTTTAATAGATTTACTTATGATGAACTTTAGAAATTTTGCTATTCTGTATCATCTCTCTTTTAGGAATACTTAGTTTACAGAAGTTTCCACTTGTTCAGAGGAATACTGAGAAGTGGGGACTACCCTGATTATTCTTTGCCAAAGCTTTCTTCCAAGAGAGCTTCTGAGTTCTGATACCACATGCTTTGAAATGAACAGTACATTTCTAGCACATTAAATCATATTAATGTTTCAATGGAAATATTAGCAGATAACCCAAGAACAACTGAGATCTAATATCTCTAACATCCTCTAGTCTTTTTGATTAAATTAGTAGGCATGAAATGTTTGTAGTTTTTTTGACAGGTACTTGGCCCTAAAATGTTGGCATTTGATAATGACACTTGCTTTTCATAAAATGCTTACAATAAGATACTTTTCCTATTCAACAGAATGTTACTTGTGTACTGAAAATGGAAAGAAAATACTACAGGATAAATATAGATTTGTATGTCTTCTGCTAGTATTATGGTACTTTGGAAAATGTTGGTAAGTAGTGGAAGAACTTAATCTTATTTAAAATGTGTTCTATTTGTGTTATAGCCCTTTTAAAACAATTATTTGCATTCTGAAATCTGTGTATGCTCTCTAAACCCCAAGTTTTTAACAGAAAGCTTAGGGAAGGGAAAACACATTATAGAAGCAAGGACTTGAGTGCAGAAATCAGTTCCAAAAATAACAATGAGCACTTGTGCTGAAATTCTCAGGAAGGATGAAGCCTGAGAATGAGCCTGAAGATGAAGAAAGCTTATGGGAATATGTCAACAAATCTTCCTCTGTTTCCTGGAGGTGACTGCTTGTTCTAACATCCTATTCATTAATGTGATTTATAATATAAACTCTATACTGACTTCTATATGTAGGCATTAAATAGAGGAAAACAACTGATTTTCAGGTATCTAACATCTGAAATCGTTTCTCTGATGATTTACTTTTCTTCTATGTCTCCCTTATTTTTTTCTCTTACAGAACGCTTTCTGCTTTTGTTTAAGGACCCAAAGTGACAAGGTTTAAGCAGGTCAACATCCTTGCTTTTTGTGCGCAGTCTTATCCTGCCAGGTGAGATCTGAATGATCTGTTCAATTTTGCTTCACCCCAATGTTTCATTAACATCTCTTATTTTTCAGATAGCAGTATTTAATTTTCCTGCACACACTAATAACTTTTGCTCCAAGGGAAAGGACAATAAATATATGGGAGAGAAAAGTAATAATTCTAATTTCTTTCCCACTTGAGATGGAAACCATTATTCTGCTGGATCCAATTACTACTTGTAAAGTAGGAATCTTATCTGTCATTTATTTCATCCCAGGAAGATAATGTGAACTTTTCAAACTTGGCTTTTATGCCAATGAATCTATGTTATGTCTTAACACACATCTTGCTAATAATGCAAAACTGTTTTATCATCTTATATTGGGGATGGAAACAATCAGATTGCTTTAAAACTCCAGTGTAATAGCACATAGCGTATCTAGCTATTAATTAATTTAAGAAGTGTCTGTTCTGTGTTCCTCCCTAGCACTTGATGTGTTTATATGCATGTTCTTCTTGGAAGGCCGGGGACACTTTGTTCTGACTGAGAAGTGATGTGGAGGGATGCCATGCTCAAAGCCTGTTTTCATATCTCCTATCAACATGTAAGTTTACAATTAACTTGATCCATGCAAGCAGAGTCATTTATTCTGGACTAAGCAGAAGGCTAGCTGTCTTCTTGAATTAAGGCCTGAGGTTGGAAGAGAACCAGTAAATGTTATCAGGCAGAAGCAAAAGTTATTTTAAGATGCAAGGAGGTACGGTCAGGAATGGTTCACTAAATCATTTGGGACCTATTTCCACACATTTCACTGTGTGAGCTCTTGCTCAACTTCTAAAGCCATGTGGCAAGGGGGTAATGGTGGTGTGGGAGCAGCAAGAAATAACAATTTAAATGTAATTTAACTGAGTACCTGTTAAATGCTACTTCCCGGAAGCAGGTAACCACACTTAGAGAGAAAAAAATGTTCAGTTGTAGCTTTTCAGGGATTCCTTCTCACAGAGTCTTCTAGATCTGGTTTTCCCTGGTAAGTCAGAGTGGTTATACTGGGAGATACTGGATTTAGTATTTCCAGGCTGTGTTGTTGATGGAATCCAGGCACAGCAGTAACAAGCTACTACACTAGAAATGTTTTATGGTGAACTGTCTGGAAACTTTGGGGTTTGCACTTAATAGAACAATATCTACCATCCTGAAAATGAGTAAGAGGGAATAGTGTAGGGAATTAAATTGTTCTCTCTCAGAAAGATGCATGTGGATGTGTGCCTGGAGTTCTGAGCTGCTTTTGTTTGCCAGAGCAGTCAGGTGCTGTTGGTGCCTTGCAGTTTTTGCTGCTGGAGTTGCCACCCATGTTGCAGCATGTTTATAAATAAAACCGTTTCTAGCTGCAAGCTCAGCCTGCAATGGAAAGCCGAGTTGTGTTTCTTCTGGCTTGCATGTTACCACTAGGAGAACTACTGCTGGCACTCAGTCAAGAATTCTATTGATTCAAAAGCCAGTAAAGAAACTCTCAGGACTGTGTTGCCTCTGCAAGTATGAGTAAAAGTTTATTTATATCAGTCAAGTGACTATACATGACTACAGATCAGACCATTGAAATGAAGGAAGGTGCTTTCACAAGTGACTCCTCCTTATCTGACTGGGCTCTCATTTGTGCCTTAGCAGATAATTTTAGAATCTCAGGGTGCATGTATGGTAGTTCATAATATGCTGGAAACACAAAACTTCTTAGAGAAACACCTTTAGCTAGTTAATAACTAATTATGGTTTAGGCTGAATTCCTTTGTGTTCATCAAATACAGCACAAGCAATAAGCCACATTCTCATGTTTTTTTCTCAGATGTGCTTCTAATATTGAATAATTTTTGAACAGTGCTAAGGGTCTTTGTGTTTTCTTATATAATCTTGAAAAACCACATTTCTTTCTTAATTTAGCTGTACCTAAGGAATACAATACTGATAATCATCTGTCTGAAACACTAGTGATGGAAGCCTTTCAACCCTTGTGGCGATCAGTTTCATTGCTTTGCTGTTGGATTTTAAACAAAAGGTTTATCCTGAACTTCCCTTACTGTTCTTTCCCATTCAGCAATACACAGAAAAATATGGGGCTTAGGTTTCTTTAGTGTAATTATTTTCCATGGGCATGTAAACAGATGTTTATAAAAAGACATTTAAACACTATGAAGGATACCTGAAGTCCTTTGAATATATGTGAATGGCCATGTCACTTTGGCAAATATTTTTTCTACTACCTTATCTCTATTATGAAAATGCTTGTATAACTTGACCTCAGGTTCAGTCATGGTGATTGCTAATAGGCTATTATTGCTGATTAACTAGGGAATACAGCCTATTTAGTGGGAACTTTTACTGGCCATTGAGACTGTTGGAATGCAAAAGAAAAAAAACAGATTTAGAAATGATATGTCTAAAATAAGAGCAAACAATTCTACAAAGCACTTAAAAGCTTGAAAATTAGTGTAAAAATTGGAAAAAGATAATTTTGCCTAGAAATTAAATTTAGGTAGTCCAAAAATTTTTGGAAGGGAGAACTTTGATGCTCTTTTGCCAGTTTTTATAGCAGCTTTATTAAAGTTTAATTCTCACACTGAGAAACTGAGAAACTTCTAAAACAACCAGTCATAATCCTGACAAGTGTTTGAAGAAGCTCTGTTGTATGTTGGAAAATTTGTTTTGAACACACATCCATTTTAGTTGTCTTAAAACCTGTTTTGATATTACCCTCTTAAGTAGACTCTGCTGAGGGTTAAGACCTAAATTGCACCAGAATTCTTTCTTTACAGGAGGTTATAATTTTTCCTCTAACACTTGCAAAGTTTTGTGTATGTAAAACTACAGCTCAGGTAGGTGAAGATGAATGGTTGCTAATTATGATATTCCAAGTTTGGGAGGTTTCTCTATCATGTTGTTTTTTCATTTCCTCTTTCAAGCTACCTGCATGTACCTGCTGTTGTTGTAGCATGGGAGGCTGATAGTTCTTTTTGGAGTTTGTATTCTGGGAAGGATTGTTTTGTAGCTCTGAAGGCTGCTGTGAAATATCCTAAATTTCAATGGCAGAGGATGAAGAAACTTGTTTTGACCTTAAATACCCCAACAATTTCCAAACTGACCTCGTAAAGGTGTTAATCACTTATATTCTCTCGGTGCTGAATGAATATTCTGCTGTTTTCCTTCCTTCCTTTGCAGGAAAGGTGTTAACACATGGCCATAACATACCCTCTCAATTTTTCCATGCAAATAACCAAGCAGGAAAACATCAGCAGAGGGCGCTCTTGAGTTATAAATAGAATAATAATAATACATTGACATTTTAAAAAGCGTTGCCATGTGTTTTCAGTATCCATTCATAGAATCACAGCGTAGTTTACAATGGAAGGGGCTCTGGAGGTCCATCCCTGCCTCAGAGCCAAATTCGAAGTTAGACACAATGAATTTGGCCTTGGTAATGTTTCTGCATTGCTGGGTCACCTGTAACAAGCTGCAAGCTGATTCAGTTTTTCTCCAAACTACTTTTACAGCCATTTGTGAGGCTGGATGCAGAGCGTGCCCAGAGATGAAGCATAGTTATTTTGTATGAGTGAGACCACAAAAAAGTTGTTTAACCATTTCTGTTTCCAAAGTCAGTAAATAGGTTTATGAACAGTTGCTCCTCAACTTTAATAAAAATAGGCAATCATTAAAAAAAACAGTTCTACAAGTATTTTGTCTGTTACTTCTGTAAGGCAAGATTGACCAGCATGGCACTTTCAATGTAGGTATTGTTGAAGCAAAGTATTGTTGATTTATGGGTTTTTTAAAAAGTATTTCTTAATCAATAGTATGATTTTACTTCTTTCCAATGACTTTACTGGAGAGTTGAGGTAGATTACAACAAGAAGAATTTACAAGTGAGTACCACTGTCATGTTTTAAAGCCTTTTTTCCCAAAGATTTTGTATTGAATGTGTGGACAGATTTATAGAAAGTACAGGTTTCTCCAAATCAGTGAGTTTTATTAAGGAAATGTTTTCTTGTTTTAGTGTGTCCTAGCCTGTCATTGTTACTTGAATTAATTCCAGTTCCTTTCTTCAATCTTGTTGCTTATATTAGCTCAAATTTTATTGGCTAAAATGGTAAACTGTTGAATTCTGTAGGATACAGCATTTTCCTTTAGCTTATCCAATTCTGCAGTGCTTTTCAAGAGTGTGTTTGTGACAAAATTGCAGACTTCCAAGCTGAGGAACAAATCTGCTGTAAAATACCAATCTCAGTGCCACTTGAGGGAGTTTACTGACACTCATGTCACATTAAAGAATTTCAGATAGTTACTGAAACCTCTGGGATGCACTAATAATTTGTTAATTACCTTAAAGCAAATGTTTCACTACTGTCTTCAGTCTGAGAAGCAATGTTGTTACCTCTTTGTCTCTTTTTTAGGACAAACTGTTAGCTACAATATTTATTTAGAAAACATATTTGTGATTGTACATATTAAATAGGGCTGTGGGAAAAGGTAACATATCTTTTTTTTTAAGTTCTCTTTTCACTCCTAGGAAAATGAATATTTTAGGTATGGTTAGAGCAACACAAATGTCTGCCCACCCTTATGGATTTTGAGCTAGAACAACTCATAAAGAGGTTTTGGAACTCTTAAAAGCACTTTCTCCCTCATTTAATCAACTCTATTTGCATGCTATTCATCTAAAATTTTAGCTCCTCTCAGATGCTGAGCTATCCCTTAGACACAAGCAGTGGGTTCAGTGGAATTTCAGTTTAGATTGCTGGCAGCTCTGTGAACAAATGAGCTTTGAGGCAAAAGGCTGCTGAGGCACAGGCAGCTGGGAGTGTTGCTGTGTATGGATGCAATACCAGCTGCTGTGGAGGTCTCTGCAGGCTGGGAAGGGCTGCAGGGAGCTGAGGTGGGACTGCTCTGTTAGAGCAGAGGCAGGGGCATGGTGAGGGTTTGAGTTGTGCTCAGAGCTTGGGCAGGGTTTATGTGTGCTGTGGTGTTCCTGGAGCAGCAGCAGCAGCCTGATCTTTCAGCTACTGCTGAAGTGTCTCCTTGGTGTCACAGTTGGAGGCAGGTCCAGTTGAGCAGGCAGGGTATGTTGATCCCTGATAATCTCTGATGAATGGGGGTGTTTGCCATGTAGGAATAATATAAATTTAGAAAATATACTCCCAGCTAAAATGGTGTAGGGGGATAGAATATAAGCAAATAGAGAGTGTAGAAAGTAATCTTACCCCTACAGAGCTGCAGCTGGGCCAATTATCAAAGATTAGGAACAGGCCTGACTTTAACAGGCCACAGCTGTAAGCAATGAGAAGAAGAGTGCTATAAAAGGCTGGGGTGGCTGGGTGAGAAGGGAACTGGAGTCAGGTGGTTATTTAGTGAAGAACAAAGAGTCAGTGCTCTGAGGAGCTGCCCATGAGAAACACCAAGAAGGTATGGAACTTTTGTGATAAGGAGACAACTGTATGGAACCCCTGTAATAAGATGACAACAAAATGGTATTTAAAAAAAACCCCAAAATTTTAAAAAATTCTGCGATATTCCTGGTTTCAAAATGCTGAAGACCTCTTTATTTTTTTGTTAGATAAC